CCTCCTAACAGGTCATGACCTTGAGACCGCCCCTGGAGCAGTTGTGCTCTGCACAGAGAGGCTCACCATGAGTCTGAATCAACAGCCACCAAGAACAATACAAAAGGGGTTAAAAACTTCATGGCAATAGTCCATTCTATTTCACTGGGCCTTTCACTTCTGGAAACCCCTTATCTCTCTCTCCTCACCTTCAGCCCTTTGGTAGCTGTGTTTCCATGTGTAAAACTCTGAGGGAGGGAGGCTTAGCCGCTCCCCAGACGCCTGGGGTGCATGGAGCACAGGGGAACAGCTGTGGTTGTGGAGGCCACCGTCCACGCCCACAGTCGGGATCAGGGACCACGAGCCAGGGGCCACGAGCCAGGGCATGGCCAGAGCTAGGCACAAATTCGGCTGTGACGTGAGCACCGCAGCAAGTGTCCAGGCAGACTCACACAGTGACCTTCTTCCAAACTAAATAAAGCCATTCACATTTTGCCCTGGCATTTGGATAAGCAAAGTGGCGTCTGGGGGGGATGACACGTGTCCAGTGGGGAGCATTTGTCCTGGCGTGATCAGGATGGGAATTATCCATCAGGATGGGAATCATGCCCTGCAAAGGCCGTCAGCTGGCAGCCAGGCTTGAGCCATCAGAACTGTTTCATGCTTCCCTGGTGGGTCTTTGGGCCCCATCCCATGCCTGTGACCCTGTCTTCCCTGTTTGCTGGAATCTCTGTATTTGAAGGGACGGCCCTGGGAGCAGCTCTCTGGGAACCCACTGGCACCCGGCTCACGGCAGCAGCTGTCCGTGGCCCCTCCATCCCTCGCTTCGCCCCGCGGCATCGCCCATCTTTCTGGGCCTCATGGAAGGAACCCAGCTTGTCTTTCACATTGTAAATGCCTTGAAGGGTCATGGTGGTACTCCTTGCTGAGCGATTCCTTTTCTACCTATCATTTCGTTTACCTTTCTGTACAATGAAGGGAGCCGCTGCCATTATTCCAGAGTTCTGCAAACGAGACTCCGAGAGGTGAGGTACCATGGCCAAGACCACACAGCCAGCAGGTGACAGATCTGGGACTTGAACATGGGCAGACCAGCTGGAGAATGCACATTCTTCACTACCCCCGTGCATTTTCACATCCGTGAGCTCTTATCCTTGGGTTCTTTCTTAACTTTTTTGCTGTCCATCAAAACAAGCTCTTTCTGCTTTTCCTTTCTTCCCATCATCTGCCATAGTGTAGGGAGCCAGCCTCTGAGCCTGACTAGTCTTATTTCCTTCAGCACAAGGACTCCAGTCGC